GAAGGACCTGCTGCAGAAAGTAGAGGCGCTGGAGTCCCACTGGGAATTTTGTGTATGAGCAGTCCCCAAACCGAACAAGTGGTCCCCCCTCAAGGCTGGGGAGCAACAACAGAGATGATAGTGACAGATGGCCAAGCAGCACCTGCACGCTACTGGGTGATATAGGGAGAGAAAACTGAGACACAGTGACACTGCTCCTGACTCTTGATATTCAATTATAACTGTGGCCCAATGATAGTCAGCCTGTAACTGCTATAATGTCCACTTAATTTGGTTTGCTCTGTCTGAAGGTTGGGAAAATGCCTGGAGTTTGGGAAGCCACCTTCAAACCTGTCCTCACCACCACTGCCATTAGCCCACGGTGTAGTCAGGATGTTCCTTTAGGAAACCCACAGATGTGAAGCTACTGGTGCCTGTGAAGGAGCTGTTACCTTTCTCCTCTTCACACTAGGTTTTTGTTTTTTAAGTTAGTTTGAGAAATATGGGCATGCAGTCCCACTAGCCAGTGACTGAGGCCATTCATTGGTGGTTGACCCTGTGAAATGTTGTCTCTTAATCCCCAGTCTCCTTGCTGGTGTGTTACAGGACAGAGAAAAGCTGGACCCTCTGGAAAGGGTTTTGAAGATGTGGGTGCTGAGGCTACGCCATCATTTTGAACCGACCCAAGTCCTGACTGGTCTTGAGAGGCATTGTGAATATCTGAAGACACTTCACAAGGGGGATCTGAACCCACCTCAGGCTCACCTCAGCCCCATTTAGCTGGAGCTTTCTTCTAGAACTAAGTCTCCCAACACTGTGTGGCACAGCAAGGATCCATGCAAAGAAGTCGTGTCTAGGAGCAGACGGCAGACTACGCATATGCTTATTAAAACTGGTGTAGTGTACCTCCCACACTTTTTCATCTGCCTCTTGTTGAAGCTTTTACAAGTGTGCTTGAGTTTCAGAGTACATTTCATGTACAGTGGTCAGTGGAAAATACGTGTCCTTTTTAGGTCTGTTCTGACTATTCGTTGTCCTGAGCCCCATCCCTGAGATGAGGATGACCTCCTCTTCAGGGCCCTCAAGGTCATTGGGATGCAGTGGCCTTAGAAATATAGTCTTTAAGAACAAGATTTCATTCAAGGCCATGATGAAATAATCAGGGTGGCCTTCAAATAAAATTAAACCACCAGGATTGTTGTTGGAAGCTTCCTTGTCAAAAAAGAAAGAAACATAGGACTTCCAGCCTGGACAGTGTATACACTTAGCACTACTCATTGTGAAGTGCTGACTCACGCTTTCGGTCACAAGTAAAAAGAAGACATGAATTCAAGAGCATGTGTGTAGTTTAATGACCTTGCTTTTGTTACTAAGGCATTTTTTCCAAAAGGACAGCAAAAATATTCTCAATTTGAAAATAGAACTTTTCAAGTGTTACTGAAATTCTGCAGAGAATTAAACCTCAGGGTCTGGTTCATTATCCTAGAAACATTCTAACCTGTATTGGTAAAAGATGCACTTCTATTTTTTTAAAGAACAATAAAATCAACAGAAACTAAAAAGAAATGCATCCATGGTATTGCATGAATTAATAATGATTTCCTTTTTATAGCTGAATAGTATTCCATTGTATAGAAATGCTACAGTTTGTTCATGCATTCACTATTTGAAGAACAACTTTGTAATTATAGGTAAAACTGCTATAAATATTAACATATAGGTTTCTGTGTGAAGTTTTAGATTCATGTTGGTAAAAACCTAAGAGTGGGACTGCTGGATCATATGGTAAGTATATGTTTAATTTTATAAATAAAACTGACATGCAGTTTTCCAATGTGGCAGTATCATTTGTAATTTCCATCAGCAGTGAAGGACAGTCCCTGTGACTGTGCATGCTTGCTAGCATTTGATACTGTCAGATTTAAATATACATATATACCATTTTAATAGGCATCTCATTGTGACTTTAATTTTGCATCTCTCTTAACTAAGGGTGGTAAAAATACTCCCATATACTTATTGGCTAGCTATACATCCTTTTCTTTTTTTGGTGAAGTTCAGATCTTTTACCTATTTTTAAAATGGGTTGTTTATTTTCTTGTTATTAAGTTTTAACACTTCTTTATGTATTCTAGATATAAATCCTTTATCAGCTATGTGACTTATAAGCCTGAAACTTATATTTTCACTATTTTTTAAAATCTTTTTTAAAAGATTTTATTTATTTATTTTTTAGAGAGGAAAGGAAGGGAGAAAGAGAGAGAGAGAGAAACATCAGTGTGTGGTTGCTGGGGGCCATGGCCTGCAACCCAGGCATGTGCCCTGACTGGGAATCAAACCTGCGACACTTTGGTTCGCAGCCCACGCTCAATCCACTGAGCTACACCAGCCAGGGCATATTTTCACTATTTTAACAATGTCTTTCACATAGCCATTTAAAATAATCCTCCTTCCCTCTCTCCCTCCCTCCCTCCCTCCCTTCCTTCCTCCCTTCCTTCCTTCCTTCCTTCCTCTGAAATGGGGAAGGGTGTTAATTCCCATTTAGTACAAAAGAACATGCACACTGAATCAAATTATAAAGAAGTTCAATATGTCTCATAGCCTGGAGATTTTATCCATAATTTCTTGTATAATTTATCAATAATTTCTCAAATATATGTTCTATAAAATGCCATTTTAGTCAGATGTGTAGAGCTTGATGATTTTTTGCTCATTATAAATTTGAAGTTATATACTTCATTGGTGTGGTCTGATATCAGCCTACAAAAAAGTCATTAGGTAGCAGAATTATAACATTAGATCAAGAATCCTTTGGAAAATAGTTGTACAATACAATAGCTACTAGACACGTGGGACTGTAGAGTACGTGAACTATGGCTAGTATAAATTAAATGACATTTAATTTTAATTAATTTAAATTTGAAAACTGATACTCAATTTAGTTATTGAAAATTTTTTAAATGTGTGGAACAGCTTGATTTTGTGACTTACTCTTTTCAGCTATAAATTTTATAAAATTTAAATACAGATCAAAAATATCCAATAAAAATTCAGCATCCAAATGATCTCAATTGAGATATGATATAAGTACAAACTGGATTTCAAAGACTTAGTATGCAAAAAAAAAGAATGTTAAATGTCTCATTAATAGTTTTTTATATTGTTCACATGTTTAATGACTGTACTTTGATAATATAAGATTAAATAAAATTTATTATAAAAACCCATTATACCTGTTGTGTTTTTTTCCTTTACAAATGTGACCACAAGAAAAGTTTAAATTACACGTGTGGCTCATGTTATATTTCTATTAGATAACACTGCTTTAGAACCATATATTGTGTATTAAATTATATTTTGTGTCAAAAGGCATTCATTTAGTGTTCTAAAAAGGCATGCTAATGACTGTCTGTTCAGCACAACTTCCAACTTGCACACCATAATCAGGCACACCTTATTCTCCTGCCTTTGCAGAGAAGGATCAAGTCTCACTGAATTTCAAGTCCCTTGTGATATATTTTTTATCCTCAGAAAGGGTTTCTAGCAAGAAAAAGGTGGAGAGAATGGAGAGTAATGCTTGAGGTGGGCATTGCAGAATCAGGTGTTGTTCAGGAACGGCATCTTCTGAGGCCCTAAATGTACCAGGAATTTTGGGAGTACTGTTGACTAATAAGGGCTCCAGTCATGGCTTACTTTCTTCTGAGCAAAAAGGGAGTGCACTACCTCCTTTTCTTCCCACTGTTGTGAGTTAGTACTTAGTGCTTAGTACTTCTTAACTCAAAAACAAAGCATAGTATCACAGCCCTTTACTTCTCTCCTTACTTTTAAGCAATGTGAAGTTAATGGTAAAAGTTTTCACTACTGAATCAAGAAAACTTTTCTCCCTTTTCTTCAGTTTATTAAATAAATTGTGTGTATATACACACATATTTATATATGTATGATGGGGAACCCAAAAAGCCCTGGAATTTATTTATAAAAAATTGTGTTTTCTTGCATGTTTAAACTTCAGTCCCCTTCAAAGTACTCTCCAATTGATGCAATATACCTATCAAGACATTTTTTTCCACTGCTCAAAACAGTTTTTTAACTCAATCATTTTGATGCCTTTTAGTGCTTCTGCCATTTTTGTTCCACCTCTTCCACATTGGCAAAATGTTTCCCTTTAAGGACTTTTTTCATCTCGGAAAACAAAAAACAAGTCACTTGGGGCATGATCAGGGGAATAGTGAGGGTCGGGGATGGGGGTCCTGCCATTTTTGGTCAAAAAGTGCTGAACACTCAGTGCTGTGTTGGCAAGTGTGCTCGTAAATCACCCATCGTGAAATTAGCAAATGCATGGAAGGAGTCATTTAAAAAATTCACTGAAGCCAAATGCAACCTCTCACAACACCACCAGCTTGCACACTGATACAGATGAGTTCCTAGAAAACTTGCCTAGCAGTGGAAACCTGTACTACAAGGGACCCACCATCCAGAAGATAATTCTGTGCTTTTGGGGGCTCCCCTTTGTACATCTGTATATGAATGATTTAATGCTAAAAATATCATCTTACCAGAACTAAAACAGTTTTTAAAAAGATAACTAACATAGGAAAAATTGAACAGACCTTAAAAAATAAACATTATGTTTTAAGACATTTCAGTAAACTTTAACACTTCAGCATAAAATTCTGCATATCCAGTATTTTTAAAAAATTTATAGAAAAATAAGAGTGGTATAAAATCTTAAGGGCAGTAAGTATAATATTTATAAAAATGTAATTAAACATAATGGATATATTATTCTACATGATAAATAACTGTATTAAGCTTTAACTTTGATACAATGTTAAATCTAAATTTGCAGAACACTTCTTCCTATAAGATGACCTTCTAATGCTATTCTGTATCTTGAATGAATTGTAGCTTATCCTTTTCTAAAACAATCTAAGTTATCTACAAGTTCTAACTAGACACATTTATCTCACATATGTAAATGTAATAATATATACTTGGGATATGTAAACATATATACTTACAATATAGAGAACATATCATGGAAAGCACATAGACGGTTGTTAGATTATTCCACTGTACTTCAAATTCTTGAATTAGTATATTCTTAACCTGTTGGGAAGGAGAGAAAAGTTATGTTGGTTAAATGTACTGAGTGTACTATATATGTAACTAAATAACCAAAAGAAAGCTAAAATAAATCATTCATTTTATAACCCTAGATCTTTCCAGATATACTTTTGTGTCTTTGTTTACATTAATTTATTACTTCTTTTAATTTCAGAAGAATGCTATTGAATCAAAATAAATACTATTATTAAAATTGAATGTTGCAATTGAAACTCTAAGGAAATAAGTATATCTTGTTAACTGAATATATTTTGTAGTTTCTATTTTTGTGTGTTTTTTACTTACAGAATAAATTGAGCCCATAACTCAAAAACCTAAAATATAAAATATAAAAAGTTTATAAATCATCTTGATGTTTATAATTATCTGAATGCTTAATAAAACAAAGACCAAATAATCAGATGATTTGTCTAAACATCTTTAACTTCCGGTTGATGTGCGTCAGCTGCCATGGTTTAAATGTTTGGGCTCCCCACCCCCCTCCCCACAATTCATATGTTGCATCCTAACATCCAAGATGATGGTGTTGGGAGGTGGGAGTTTTGAGAGGAAAATAATTAAATTTTCCCCTAATTTAGTACTTCTCTTACTTATACTTCTATTGTATTTAAACACAGTTAAAGATAATCAAAACATGGAGAATAGATGGGGTATCTATCTTATCTTTAAAACAGAATGCTACCTAATCTTTTCTCAAAGGTATAAAAGGCAGTAGATGAACAAGATGTCTATATTTTGTCTCAACTGTTGAATGTTTTCTGATGTGAATAATCTTCATTTAGTCATCACAGCAATACCATAAGGTAGGTTTTATTATCTCCATTTTACAGGGTTCTGATCATTCAGACATCTACTCCATATAAGAAGCTAGAAGTTGTTACAAGCTGGGGAGCTGGGGTTAATTCAGCCCTAATCCAAGTGTCTATACAGAAAAGTCTTCACTTGCACACGGCCTCCTGGACACTGCTTATAAGATAATGCTGCCTGGATATCTACTTTGAATACCATTTGAGCCCCCAATTTGAAAAAAAAAATTGTTTTATGAAGTAGATCAAGTTTCTCTTTTGAAACTTTACATATCTTGTACTTGACACTTTTAAGTAAATAAAACTACAAACATAATTATTGCATAAACATATATAAAGTGTTGGATATATATCTTGAAATTAAAGATTAATATATTTAATACTATTAAATATAGAAAAGGGGCAAAAAGGGGCATTCACACCTGTCTCAACTGGTTATAGACTGTATTATATTTGAGTATCTGTTAATTTTTTGACAATAATATTCTCTCAGCATCAAATGCTATTTGTGCTCTGTTTTTATCCTACAACATCTAATTTGATGCTTTTGAAAAGTTTGTTTCTGGAAAGTTAGAAAACCCAACATTTAGAATTGTATCTAAAATGAGAGCAAATAATGGGAACCAGGAAGTGGCCTGAGTCCTGTTATCTATTTGGCAACTCAGATTTGTGTGTGTTTGATTTTCTGACTTGCCAGAAAAAGACATTTCAAAAGCATTAAATCAGATGTTGTACAGTAAAAACAGCAAGAACAGCATTTGATTTCTCATATACTTGTCTTTCTGCTGGAGAAGTCAAAACATCTGGCTGACATGGGCCAGAGATGGGCACAAGACACTCAGTTTCTGTTATCCATGTTGATGGATGGTTTAAAGCGAGTCAGTCCTGAGAAACAGGGAATTCTAAATTCCTTTAGTTCCATCTTACCTATAAAGTCTAAACTTGGTGGATTAGTCCATTATTTGGATGTTTTGTCAAGATCTGGAGGCTTAGTAACACAAGCATAAAACACTAAGCTGATTCACTGAATGATCTACTTTTTGTCTTGATGTTATTCAGCAAGCCACACATGACTAAGTTTTCATGGAATTTTATTAAAGAGTTTCAAATCATGCAGGAAGCAATAGGAAGAGAGCCTTCTTCACGTATACTTTTGAGATATACCAGGAAAAGTGGAGAGAAAGATCATATTGGAAGAGGAGAGTGGCTGCCACAGCTCTTGTTTTCTCCTCTTAGCTTCTTGAGGTCAAACATCTGGTGGGAGTAGCTTTAGAAATTCATAGTTAAGGGAACTCTCTGGGTTTTGCCCATGATTTTGAGAAGGGCTACTGCACTGAGTAATCTCACACTAACACATGGTGACTCAATAGTGTCACAAGGTTCCCGTGGTTAAAATAAAGCCAGTTTGCAATCTCAAATCTCCCCTGGTTATTGTGTGGCATGGATAATGGGCTGAGGAAAACAGGGCCTACTGGAGGCAAAATGGATCAACTACAGAGGTTTGTGAGGTTTTTCCATTCTAACTAGGTGTCAGAAGAGGGAGGTAGCAATGTACATAACAGTAAGGACTCTGATGGACCTGAATGCCAAGATCCAGTGCAGAGAGAATTAGCTGGACCATTAGGCAGACAGAGCGAGGAGAAAGAACTGTGAGATGTCAGCAGCAGAGCAGTCTACAACAGTACTGGACAGTCTCTTTGGCCAGGGGCAGATAGCAGAGATAGCTTCATGAAGGAATCTGTGTTTGATCTGAAGATAAGGAGTCAGCCTTATCTTCAGGATCAAGCATTGCAAGGAAAGGGGATACAGGATACAAAAGCCCAGGGCAGGATCAAGCAAGGCATATTCAAGGAGGGAAAGAAACCAAATCACATAGTGACCCAGGGCACGGTGGTGGTGTGGTGGAGAGTGAGGTAGACAGGTAGACAGAGGCCAGGTCATGCTGGGCTTCACCGGTCTCTGTAAGGAGGTCAGACTTTATCCATTATACAATGGGGACAGGAGGGGTTTGACTAAGTAACTAATCAAAGTTTAAAAGATCCCTTCAAATATTCTGCAGGTAATAGAGAGAGGCAAGCTGGGAAGTGGCAGCCAGTCAAAATACTGTAGTGGGGCTGGGAGATGACGGTGAGCCTAAGTTTGGTGGCAGTGACAATGGAGAGAAATGTTTGGATTTGTGATATATTTGAATAAAGTATAAAATTATTTTCATTAATTTCACAAACAAATGCATCTTTGATCCACCATGTAGGATAGGTTATTTTTCCTCTAGCAAAGAGTCCATTTAAAAAATATAAATTACATATTTGTTTATATAGGCTACTTCAATTAATTTGAGTAAAATTCACTAAAGGGAAAAATATGGAGAAACACTTGTATTTTATAATTGTTTTTAATTATTGTTGATTAAAGATAGTATAACTGATTACAAAAACACTATATGATATTTAGAAATAAAAGAACAGGGGAATAGAAAAATGGAGCATTACTTATCAACAAGAAAATTTTACAGGACCCCAAATGATGTTAGAAATATCTCAGGTACATTAAAAATTGGATTCCATTAATAAGAGTAAGTTCCCTAATTTAATTCACCAGATGTGATTAAAAGCCATTGAATTTTGAACAAATAAAGACAATTACTTTATGCAGTTTACAGTGATAAATGAGATTTGCTGGCAGAAGAGGTCACTGAGCCAATTCCTGTGGCTGTACTTTAAACAGAATTTTATGACTTCAGAATTACTACACTTGGCCCTTAAGCCTTCTTTAATTCAACATACATTTCCCTAAATGAGTTCTGTATAACAGCTGCTAGATGGTATGGCTAAAAGGGTGACTAAAAGATTCTTCTGCCCTTGAAAGGTTCATAGTCCAGAGGAGGAAGAAAAGAAAGTGGAATGAGGAAATTTGCACAAAATGTCTGGTCAGGGGCACAATTATAGTGGTATTAATTTACATGGCTGAAACTTAATAGATAATAGGTTGTGTCAAGAGAACGTTGAGTTACAAGTAGGTAGTACAGTTTGAGCAAAGATAAGGAGAACAGAGATAAAATAGTCTGGGACTAAAAGCTAACTTGGCTTTAGTGGAGTAAAGAGATAAGCAGAGTGTGCCCGTAGCCTGTTCAGGAAGCAGCAGAGGTAAGAGGGGCTGGCCATGGGAGGACCCTCTGGTCACACTGAGAGCTTGAACATCATTAACACTATTAAGAATACCACCTAATAATAATAAAATGTTCACTATATTCCAGCCACAGTTTTAAGAGTTTCACATAAATGTTTTCATTCAATCCTATCAACAAGTGTGTAAGGTATTATTTTAGAGGATGAAGTATTGACAGCTTAAGCAGTTTGTCCTAGGTCACCCAGCTTGTAAATGGAGTAACTAATGTGGAATCCAACCAGACTGATGCCAGACCTTCTTTCTTGGTCCCACAAGTCTGCCTCATGTGATCAACATAGGATGATTTACATGTAAGGAACTCTTTTTCAATATTTTTTTCTCACAGTACTAAATATTGATTTGCTCTTTATAGTAGGTGAAAATGGGACTAAGAATCCTGAACCTAAAAACAAGTGAGGAAGAAAGAGGAGAGAAAGAGAAATGAATGAATGTTCCTTAAGCAGTTTACTGTGGGACAGATTCTAGTCCAGGTGGTTTAATGGTCATCTTCCTTGGTCCCTATCTCTGCACAAACTGGAATAAAAGGGAGTCTGTGGGAGAAGTGTGTGATTCGTGCCTGTTTCTGTGGCTCCTTGGTTATTGTCATCATCTGTATTGGGCCTTCTTCGTTCCCTGCTATGCAGCTGGCTTTGGTGATGTTTCCTGACCCCTATTTCTCATGGGCATATGAGACAGATCTTTGTGAACTCAGAGAACGGTGCTGGGGCTGGTGAAGTGAGATGTCCCTCATGCGGACACTTCTGCTTGTTGAGTTGCTGTAGGAGATAGGGGATTAGTAGTTTTTAGGACCATTCACAAACATTGATATCTTGTGGACTTTAGATATACCTATGTTTGGTATAGAGGTTATTGTTATCCACAGAAATATTTTTCAGGACACACTTTTTGATGTAGGGAGGATTGCTTTGTTCTCTTAAAACCTGCAGAACCCTTCAAGGAAAATTATTGAGCTTCTCCTAACTGGGACTTGAAACAGCACTGAAAACCTCA